GATTACTTAATACACATGTATTCTATATTCATTCCGATGGACACAATTACTCAGGAAATTTGCCCGAAAATGTTGAAATTCTATTTCTAGCGTAATATTGTAATCTTACAGATTATACTTCACACTATTCACAAGAAACATTAAGACAAGGTATTAAAAGATAAGCCATTTTAATTGTTTTTTCGTTATCATGACACTTTGTTCGGGTATCACATACGTTTTCCTTGTCACAGACAATTATATTTGTGTGGAATATTTCTTCTCCATAGTCAGAAATAGACAGAAATAAAAACACACATATTCATGCTGAATAATGACGTCACGTCATCAGGTTCAATGTTAATAGTGAAATTTGTCACACAAGTGTAGAACAAAATTTGTGTTAAATCTTAATGTGACTGGCTGGCTTATCAGACAATAGGGGGGGGGGGGGGGGGGGAAGGCATGTTATCATCTTAATCAAATGATAATTCTTTTTTTCTACCTGACTAATGATTAATAGATCTTAGTCTACAGATTGTTCAACTTGATGTTGTTACAACATCTTGTAACGGTATGAAATCCAGAGAATCGCCGGACCTATATAAAACAATCTCTGTAATTATATACAGTTAGACTCACCAGCTATATAGCAAAGCATTGTCTTATCAAGCTTTTGGAATCAGGCGGAACCAATTAGATAAACCGTTTGAAAGCTTCAGTTTATGGATTCTCGCGAATGATAACGACTAAAACGCACAACTTTATGTTACTCTACCTAAGTAAGCCGAATGGTTCACGGAACCTATTTTTGAATTAAAGTTTCCCCATCGGAATACCATAGATAAAAACCAACCACAATGTAGAAAAATACGGATTGTAATTCTCTAGAGTATGAATGGCGACCTAGCGGAATATCAGACAGAGAGGTTCCATACATCACGACCCCCTACCTTAACACAAGTAGTGGTATAAGATAGATGACGGCGATACTCGTGCTTGATTCGTGAAATAACCGATAATAACACCAACGGAGAAATGTCAAAAATAGGAACATCATCTGGTACAAGTGATATATATGAATTATGAAGATGATGTATCGATTAACAGTAGATAATAATGATGATGTCCCCGCCGGGAATATTGAATATCGCAGAAAAATGTCAGGCCCCAAACACGTTACTAAAAGACCGTAATGAAATGGTGAAATCGAGTACTTTCAAATAAAAAAAAGCCATCCTTCAAAACTCGTGTAGCTCTGACACAAGCCTGTCTGAAAACAGATAGAATATCTCTAGTTTATCTGATGGAATAGTTCAAGTACGTTCCAATTATTCCGTGTGTATTCTGCTTCCAACTGTTTGTACGTTTCGGATGTCTGTAAACTCAGCATCTGGCAGCATGCCGTAATATCTGGTAACTTAGTAAAGGTCAGTTAGTGAACGGGACGGCCTGTTGCGTGTTGCTATTCACACAGCTCATACAAGCTGTTGTGTTTGTGGCCCAACAGTCTTTCAAAATATCTACCATTTGTTATATTGTGATCGTGTGAAGCAGTGAATCATCGGTCTTAGTGTTCTATCGATATGCAGAGACCTCAAAACCTACATGTTGTAATTTTTTTTTAATAGTATATATGATTGGAGAAAAATGAAACCACGTTGTGGAAGTGAAAGTGAATGGGTGTGTAAGGTGAACGGTTGCTGAGGGTTAGGGTCACTACAAAAAAAGAAATTTGAAGTTGACAGTACTTGCGAGAACCTGCCGATGTTTGCCGAATGATTTGGAAACAAAAATACAACTTAGTTTCTCGTGACCGAGACGATGATAATGAATTCAATTGTCGACTGGATTATGGATACTATAACGACCGATTTGTGACCTTGTAGCCTTTTGCTATAATCTTGACACAAAACGACAAGAAAATTGGATGATATAACCTTTTGACCTTTGACGACCAATACCTTGACATTTGGACATAGCGTGATGATCTGAAAAAATACGAAACAGTAGGATGGTATATAATTTAGCTATATGTTATCTTATTCTGAATTCTTAATGAAAGGTTTATGTATAATGATCAACATCGTATGCAAATGTGAACTTTGACCTCAAGTTACCTATAATTTGATAATTGGTGGACTACACTACCCTGTTTTATAAGCTGTATAGATAAAAAGAATTAACTGATTTTTCATTAACTTATTTGAAAAAATTGTATTGACCTGAACTTCCGTATAGAGTAAGATGTCTGAACAATATACAAATATTCATAACATTGATGGGCGAATCTAATTGCCCGTCTAGATTTTAACTTTTCTTTTGATCACTTTGCATTTTCTTTAGACGCCTCCCAGGCTTCAAATGTTATGCCCTTATCATCACTGACGAGTCCTAGGAGGACGAAAAAGCTGTATGCTGCAGTTTAATTCATTGTTTGGCTCTACTGTATTTCACTCTAAATCATGAAATTTTGCTATTCACTTGTGTGTCTGTTGTACAATCTTTGGCCTGTGGGTGGCAAATAGTTTTACCATTGGTACTTAACTAACAGTTCACGGGCTTTGATATTGAAAATTATCTCAATTAAAAAAAATGGGGGGAAATATGACAAAATGATATGTAACAACTTGTCATAATCACCATAAAGTATGTTTCATGTTTATTAACCTTCGAATACAGGTTACCGGGTGAAAGGTGAAAATCACGGGGGTCAAACAGAATTTCTATTTTATATTCAGATATGTAGGTTAAAGTTCACAGAAGCTATATAGTTTGTAACCCCTAGCCGTTTTACGATTCATTGCTAGTTTTAGGGAGAGGTTGTTTGAAACGCACGACTAGAAAGTAGCTTCCTAAGAATTAAGCAATGGACAGACAGTATGTTTAATAAAAAAATGAAGACACTTTTCATGGATATTGATTCCCTTTTAAACAGTCCGCGAGTCCATGAGTGGAAAGTTTAAATCATCCTAAACTAATGTTAACAGAAATAATCAAACTTCCAGGTGTACAAAGCCAAGGATTGAAGGTCAAATTTACCGGTAAATCTTCACTGCACTTGAGTGAGATTGATTTTCCACGTTTATAGTTTATAACGATATCACACGGCTACCAGAGAACCAAAGTGACACAGAGGCATATCACACAAGAGACCATTCCTGTTCTTATACATCATGTCGGATACTTACTACAGTAAATAATACTCCTGATATATATATATATTTGAATGATATGTCATGAAATAAAATGGTGGCGCTTTATTTTTCCGGTGTCACACATACCTCTGCAACAGTGCGGTATAGTTGAGATTAACCTCCGCAGGAAACAGCTATTCGACGTAACTCTGTTTATTTACATGCATCATAATCTATTGTATTCTAAATTTAAATGGCAAAACAAAAATGAAATATTTTTTTGAAATAATGGTCAGTATGGTTGTGCCACTTTTTGATTTATCTATCTATTTTGGTTTGGGTCATAGTGTGTTCAATGATTACGCCTGTCATAGTAACAATTGCAAGCAATGTGGCTGTGATAACAACGTTCTCGTAGGCTGTGACAACAGCGTTCTCGTAGGCTGTGACAACAGCGGTCTCGTACGTTGTGACGACAGCGTCCTCGTAGGCTATGGCTGTGACAACAGCGTTCTCGTAGGCTGTGACAACAGCGGTCGCGAAGGCTGTGACAAAGGCGGTCACGTAGGCTGTGAAAACGGCGGTCTCGTATGCTGTGATAATAGCGGTCACGTAGGCTGTGGCTGTGACAACGGCGGTCACGTAGGCTGTGAAAACGGCGGTCTCGTATGCTGTGATAATAGCGGTCACGTAGGCTGTGGCTGTGACAACGGCGGTCTCGTATGGTGTGATAATAGCGGTCACGTAGGCTGTCGCTGTGACAACGGCGTTCTCGTAGGCTGTGACAACAACATTCTTTAAGGCTGTGACAACAGCGTTCTCGTAGGCTGTGACAACAGCGTTCTCGTAGGCTGTGACAACAACGTTCTCGTAGGCTGTGACAACGGCGGTCTCGTAGGCTGTGATAATAGCGTTCATGTAGGCTGTGACAACGGCAGTTTCGTAGGCTATGACAACAGCGTTCTCGTAGGTTGTGGCTGTGACAACGGCGGTCTCATAGGCTGGGACAACAGCGTTCTCATAGGCTGTGGGAACAGCGTTCTCCTATACTGCGGTTGTGACACCAGCGGTCTCTTATGCGTTGACAACAGCGGTCTCTTAGGCTGTGTCTGTAACAACAGCGGTCCCGTAGGCTGTGGCCGTGACAACAGCGGTCTCATAGTCTGTGGCTGTGACAAAATCGGTCTTGTAGGCTGTGGTTGTGACAACAGCGGTCTCGTATGCTGTGGTTGTGACAATATCAGTCTCGTAAGATGTGGTTGTGACAACAGTGGTCTCGTATGCTGTGGTTGTGACAACAACGGTCTCGTATGATGTGGTTGTGACAACAGTGGTCTCGCATGCTGTGGTTGTGACTACATTGGTCTCGTATGCTGTGGTTGTGACAACAGCGGTCTCGTATGCTGTGGTTGTGACAACAGTGGTCTCGTATAATGTGGTTGTGACAACAGTGGTCTCGTATGCTGTGGTTGTGACAACTTCAGTCTCGTATGCTGTGGTTGTGACAATATCAGTCTCGTAAGATGTGGTTGTGACAACAGCGGTCTCGTATGCCGTGGTTGTGACAACAGCGGTCCCGTATGATGTGGTTGTGACAACAGTGGTCTCGTATGCTGTGGTTGTGACAACAGCGGTCTCGTATGGTGTGGTTGTGACAACAGTGGTCTCGTATGCTGTGGTTGTGACAACAGGCTGTGACAACGGCGTTCTCGTAAGCTGTGACAACAGCGTTCTCGTAGGTTGTGGCTGTGACAACGGCGGTCTCATAGGCTGTAGGCTGTGACAACAGCGGTCTCGTATGCTGTGGTTGTGACAACAGCGGTGTGACTCTCGTAAGCTGTGACAACAGCGTTCTCGTAGGTTGTGGCTGTGACAACGGCGGTCTCATAGTTGACAACAGCGTTCTCGTATGACAACAGTGGTCTCGTATGATGTGGTTGTGACAACAGCGGTCCCGTAGGCTGTGGCCGTGACAATAGCGGTCTCATAGTCTGTGGCTGTGACATGATCGGTCTTGTAGGCTGTGGTTATGACAATATCAGTCTCGTAAGATTTGGTTGTGACAACAGCGGTCCCGTATGCTGTGGTTGTGACAACAGCGGTCTCGTATGATGTGGTTGTGACAACAGTGGTCTCGTATGCTGTGGTTGTGACAACAGCGGTCTCGTATGCTGTGGCTGTGACAACTTCAGTCTCGTATGCTGTGGTTGTGACAATATCAGTCTCGTAAGATGTGGTTGTGACAACAGCGGTCTCGTATGCTGTGGTTGTGACAACAGTGGTCTCGTATGCTGTGGTTGTGACAATATCAGTCTCGGAAGATGTGGTTGTGACAACAGCGGTCTCGTATGCTGTGGTTGTGACAACAGCGGTCTCGTATGATGTGGTTGTGACAACAGTGGTCTCGTATGATGTGGTTGTGACTATAGCGGTCTCGTATGCTGTGGTTGTGACTACAGCGGTCTCGTATGCTGTGGTTGTGACAACAGCGGTCTTGTAGGCTGTGATAACAACGGTCTCTTAGGCTGTTGGAACAGCGGTCTCATATGCTGTGATTGTGACACCAGCGGTCTCACATACTCCAATGGAATGAATGCTTTTAAACAATGATCGTGCCAATGTTTGTACAGTACCGTCACAAGTAATGTCAACAAGCCCTCCCGTCAAGCTGTATTTGTTCAAGTCTTTCTCAAATGACAAGTTTTATTACCAAAATGAAGTTGAGTTTACTTACCACGGTATCAAGAATAGCATACCTCGTTTCATTGTCCATATTTCAGTTCGTGAAATATAAAATTCATATGTCCAATAATATAATCGATATCTTATATATATTGTACAGCATTGATTTTCAAATTATTCCCAATCAACTAATTTATAGGCTGGACGTAACTCTACAAGACTTATTTTTGTTCCATTGATCCTATATCTGATGCAATCTGTTGTTTTCTATGTAAAGTCCATAGCACATCTACAGTACAAATTGACCTACATCCAAACCCAAATGTTGCTGCTAATATACACTATATATGAAAGATGGCACGTGATGTCACGTGTAACTTGATTTGAAAGGCACATGTCAACATCAGGGGGACTTGAAAACAAAAATAAATAGCCTACATATAGGTATTCTGACAAGCTAATAGATCAGTACATGGCAAAAAAAAAACATACATTTTTATTCCATCGTCGTCTTCGTCGTCTTTGTCATCATCATCATCATCATCATCGTCATCATCATCATCATCATCATTACCACCGTCATCACCATTGTCCAGTTATATAATGATATAAGAACTTATACATTTTGGGAGAGGATAAATATTCGATAAATATGTCGCCTATTAACTGTAATTGTAGCAGAACTAATATAACCTCATTCCGTCAAGTTAACCCCATATTAATAGATTATGTAAATAGCATTCACGCCAACTGTGCCATAACACATCAGCAATATTAACTTTGGGCAAAGTCAGATTATAGCATTTCTACCAATTCGTGCAAAGTGATCATCTTGGTGTTGAATTCAGTATAACAGGGATGAATTGTTTTCATTGGTGCTTTCTTTGCTGGGTTTACAGTCCTTTGAACAGCATGGTACATTGTTAGATAGCGAAGACTCTTTTCAGGAGTTGGTGGTAAAACCACTGAATAATTTACGAGAGGTTCGTCGCAAATCGTCTGGAACAATAAAAAATACGGACAGTGATGTCACCTAAATAAAAAATTGTTGTCACTTTATACATAAAAACATTCCAGAATGTACAGTGATGTCTCCCTATATACAATGATGTCTCTCTATATATAGTGATGTCTCCCTATAAACAGTGATGTCTCCCTATATTCATAGATGTCTCCGTATATACAGTGATGTCTCACTATATACAGTGATGTCTCTCTATATACATAGATGTCTCCCTATATACAGTGATGTCTCCTGATGTATAAAGTGAGGTCACTCAATATGTACAGATTTTTCTCAAAACGTGTATAGATATCAATTAAGGTATATCGATTTGTCGTAATATAGAATCAGAAAAGGCCATTTCTCTTTAAAATTTGTAAAGATATTTCATTATTTCCCTCACTATCAATCCATGGAACCATTTTTTTACAGTGTTTTCTTCCTAAACACAGTGATGTCTCACTTTATACAAAGATGTCTCCCTATATACTGTAATGTCTCCCTATATACATAGATGTCTCCGTATATACATAGATGTCTCCGTATATACAATGATGTCTCCCAATATATACTGATTTCTCCCTATATACGGTGATGTCTCCCTATATACAGTGATGCCACGCTATATACAATGATGTTTCCCTATATACAGTCATGCCTCCCTATATCAAGTTATGTCTCCCTATACACAGAGGAGTCTCCCTACATACAGTGGTGTCTACCTACATACAGTGATGCCTCCATATATACAGTGGTGTCTTCCTATATACAGTGATGTCTCACTTTATACAGTGATGTCTCCATGTATACAGTTATGACGCCCTATATATAGTGATATATCATAGATATACAGTGATGTATCCCTATATACAGTGATGTCTCCAAATATACAGTGATGTCTCCCTATATACTGTGATTTATCATAGATATACAGGTATGTCTCCCTATATACAGTGATGTCACACTATATATAGGTAAGTCTACCTATATACAGTGATGTCATCCTATATACAGTAATGCCACCCTATATACATTGATGTCTCCCTATATACAGTCATGCCTCCCTATATCAAGTTATGTCTCCCTATACACAGTGGAGTCTCCCTAAATACAGTGGTGTCTACCTACATACGGTGATGTCTCCCTATATACAGTGATGCCACGCTATATACAATGATGTCTCCCTATATACAGTCATGCCTCCCTATATCAAGTTATGTCTCCCTATACACAGTGGAGTCTCCCTACATACAGTGGTGTCTACCTACATACAGTGATGCCTCCATATATACAGTGATGTCTCACTTTATACAGTGATGTCTCCATGTATACAGTTATGACGCCCTATATATAGTGATATATCATAGATATACAGTGATGTATCCCTATATACAGTGATGTCTCCCTATATACAGTGATGTCTCCCTATATACGGTGATGTCTCCCTAAATACAGTGATGTCACACTATATACAGGTATGTCTCCCTATACACAGTGATGTCACACTATATACAGGTATGTCTCCCTATATACAGTGATGTCACACTATATACAGGTAAGTCTACCTATATACAGTGATGTCATCCTATATACAGTAATGCCACCCTATATACACTGATGTCTCCCTATATACAGTCATGCCTCCCTATATCAAGTTATGTCTCCCTATACACAGTGGAGTCTCCCTAAATACAGTGGTGTCTACCTACATACGGTGATGCCTCCATATATACAGTGGTGTCTACCTATATACAGTGATGTCTCCCTATATACAGTGATGTCTCCCTATATACATTGATGTCTCACTTTATACAGTGATGTCTCGCTATAAACAGTGATGTCTCCCTATATACCGCGATGTCTCCTTATATACAGTGATGTCTCACTTTATACAGTGATGTCTCCATGTATACAGTTATGACACCCTATATATAGTGATATATCATAGATATACAGTGATGTATCCCTATATACAGTGATGACTCCCTATCTATAGTGATGTCTCCCTATATACAGTGATGTCTCCCTATATACCGCGATGTCTCCCTATATACAGTGATGTCTCACTTTATACAGTGATGTCTCCATGTATACAGTTATGACACCCTATATATAGTGATATATCATAGATATACAGTGTTGTATCCCTATATACAGTGATGACTCCCTATCTATAGTGATGTCTACCTATATACAGTGATATCTCCCTATAAACAATGATTTTCCCATATATACATTGATGTATCATAAATAAACAGTGATGCATCCCTAAATACAGTGATGTCTCCCTATATACAGTGATGTCTCCTATCTATATTGATGTCTACCTATATACAGTGATATCTCCCTATAAACAATGATTTTCCCATATATACATTGATGTATCATAAATAAACAGTGATGCATCCCTATATACAGTGATGTCTCCCTATAAACATTGTTGTCTCCCTTTATACGGTAATGTCTCCTCCCAATATACAGTAATATAACATAGATATACAGTGATGTCTCCCTAAATACATTGATGTCTCCCAATATACAGTGATGTCTCTCATTATACAATGATTTCTCCCTTTATGCAGTGATGTTTGTCCCTATATACAATGATGTCTCCCTATAATCATTGATGTATCATAGATATACAGTGATGTCTCCCTATATATATATTGATGTTTCCCTATAAACAGTGATGTCTCCCTATATACTGTGATGTCTCCCTATCTATAGTGATGTCTCCCTATATACAGTGATGTCTCCCTATAAACAATGATTTTCCCATATATACATTGATGTATCATAAATAAACAGTGATGCATCCCTATATACAGTGATGTCTCCCTATAAACATTGATGTCTCCCTTTATACGGTAATGTCTCCTCCCAATATACAGTGATATAACATAGATATACAGTGATGTCTCCCCAAATACATTGATGTCTCCCAATATACAGTGACGTCTCTCTTTATACAATGATTTCTCCCTTTATGCAGTGATGTTTGTCCCTATATACAATGATGTCTCCCTATAATCATTGATGTATCATAGATATACAGTGATGTCTCCCTGTATATATTGATGTTTCCCTATAAACAGTGATGTCTCCCTATATACTGTGATTTATCATAGATATACAGGTATGTCTCCCTATCTATAGTGATATCTCCCTATATACAGTGATGTCTCCCTATAAACAATGATTTTCCCATATATACATTGATGTATCATAAATAAACAGTGATGCATCCCTATATACAGTGATGTCTCCCTATAAACATTGATGTCTCCCTTTATACGGTAATGTCTCTTCCCAATATACAGTAATAAAACATAGATATACAGTGATGTCTCCCTAAATACATTGATGTCTCCCAATATACAGTGATGTCTCTCATTATACAATGATTTCTCCCTTTATGCAGTGATGTTTGTCCCTATATACAATGATGTCTCCCTATAATCATTGATGTATCATAGATATACAGTGATGTATCCCTATATATCTTGATGTTTCCCTATAAACAGTGATGTCTCCCTATATACTGTGATGTCTCCCTATCTATAGTGATGTCTCCCTATATACAGTGATGTCTCCCTATAAACAATGATTTTCCCATATATACATTGATGTATCATAAATAAACAGTGATGCATCCCTATATACAGTGATGTCTCCCTATAAACATTGATGTCTCCCTTTATACGGTAATGTCTCCTCCCAATATACAGTGATATAACATAGATATACAGTGATGTCTCCCTAAATACATTGATGTCTCCCAATATACAGTGATGTCTCTCTTTATACAGTGATTTC